ACGTACATATACACCAAGTATCAAAGCATTCAGGCTGTAGTTTCAGAAGAAGTCGAAAAAGTAAAACATTGACACGGACGACGACGACGGACAATCACTCATATGATAAGCTCCGCTCGACAAAGTCGACAGCGGAGCTAAAAACGAACTACAAATACTCCAATATTTTTTTTACTTCATTAAAAAATAAAATCGTTTTTGTAGGATGGAAACTTTTTGAGGTCAAAACCCCCCACCTCCAAACTAAAGGAAATAAGTTTTTTATCCGACATCGATCTTTTGACGTCGTCCCTAAGCAGGCATGTCAATGTGGAGTTTGTATATAAATCAAATCTGTTCCTCTTAATTCTGATACTGGAAGATAACATACTGTAGAATTCTTTATTTTCGCTTGAATTATTTTTCGATGAAAAAACATTTCGGCTGTTTTGTATGAAGTTTATTTTCACTGATTTTTGATGAGTTGAGTGTAAAATATGGGTAAAATGGTGTTCTCACTGGTTTTTATTTTCCCTGAATTATTACTTCAACGAAATTAGCAAAACAATTAATTCAAAGTGAAAATAAAGTACTTTAGCAGTAGTTAAAGCCAGTGTTTTGATAAGGTTCCCATGAAATGTATAGAGAAGGGATTGAAAATATTGTTCACACAAAATTCAAAGCCTTTGTAGCATTAGTATCCTGATGTGTCAAAGTAGGTAGGTCACCAGACACAAGGTCAAAGGTTAAATAGACTTACCCATCCTCTGTCTCATTTATGATGTCACATATTTCAATATTTAAGGCCCAATCCTCAGATGCCAAAGTCTCATTGGTAGCTCGTTCTGGAAAAAAAAAAAGACATTGTCAAAATGGCATGAGGGTCATTTAGAATTCTTGGAAGGGTTTTGCAAACTTTCAGAGAAAAATATCCAGCAACAAATAGATCCCATGCATTTTGTCATTTTAAAATGGGGAACAATTTACTGCAGGAAATGAGAAAAGTCAATAGAAATTTGCTCTTCCCACCAATCAACCAGAAAATACGAAGCAGCTCACTTTAAAGTAACATACAACAATTCACACCCAGTTGATTAAGAAATACAAAAGTTTTCCAAACTTTCATATGTCATATAATTAGGTGTGAAATAAATGACCCATATAAATGCTAATTTATGGTACAATGGAGATGGTGATCAAACTATGTATTGACAAGCCCATTAGCAGTACATTGTATCTTGTATGACTCACAACCACATGAATGACTTAAAATGTTATTACTACCATGTAACTATAAACACAGTTCCATGGTTCCATTGATAAACAATTACTTGCAATAGTTTCACTATAATGAATGTTTTCCTGTGTATAAAGTATAACAGTGTTCATGTACTCTCAATACAACATAGGCATTCCCTTCATTTTTATAAATATTTATTAATTTCAATGGCAGTCCAACCAGTCAATCAAACAAACGCCAGTGCACATCAATATCATTTAAAAATGTTATTCAATCAGTCAATAGAAACTCCTTGTTTCAGTTTGAATTGTAAAATTAATAAACATTTATAAAGATGAAGAAAATACATTTGTTAAGCCTGGAGTGAACCAGCAAATTGTACAATTGTTACAAAAATAGTTTTCTTGGAAAAAAATAACATTTTTAAACATTATTTCAATGCATTGCGAATAGACTAATTTTAAACATACTGCATGCCCATAAACTGTCCACTTTAAAAAATAAATAAATAAATAAATCACTTTATCTTTGATCTCAGAGATAAATGAAAATTAAATTGAAAACAAAATCAATGATATTTACCAAGAATGGATATAATGAATCATGCATGGGACAGAAACATTGAAAGAGCAATGATCTACTGTAAAACCATTTAATTTCACATGCGTTTAATTTCACTATTTCGATGCTTTGAGCAATTTCACTGGGTTTTAAGTTCACAGTCTTGGCAGAGAAATAATGACTTCCATTGTTTACATAGATTTAATTCCACGCGAATGGAACAGGGAAGTATATATATACAAATTTGCTAGCCTTGAGGATGATATGTTGGGTATCAGATTTGTGGGTGTTCAAATTCATTTGAAACAATGTAAAACTAAGTTGGTGACTCCAGAAGTGATAAAGCAATATTTTATTTCGCCAAGATCTGAAATTTATCATGTTAAAACATTGAACTCCAATATTAGCACCATTTAGACTCACAATAGAGTCAAAGCTCAGGGAATTTCAATGGAAATTCAGCCACAATATCCTGGTAACCAACTCTGTTCTTTGTTAGATGACCCCACCAAAAATTGAATCAGGAGGCTGTAAATTCTGTAAGGAGCCTGACGAAAATCTGCATCATCTTTTTTATGAATGTCCAGTAGTAAAATTATTTTGGGATACCTTCTTTGAGATATGGGGGACAAAACTGAGTTTCCGTCGGGTAAACGACCCAGAATGCTTTTTGTTTGGTGATAGTCTTTTCTCCCTCCTTTTAAACTTTTGTTTTTAGTCGCCAGGAGGTTTATTTATATTTGCAGATGTCAGGGTAAAAAGCCAAAATTTGAGAAATTTAAGGACTTTGTGCAGAAGGTACAGAAAACTGAGTACTTGATTGCAAACAGAAAAGGTAAATTGGGAAAACATTTAAAAAAATGGGGAAAATTTATGAAAATTGTAGAAACGACCTAGCATATCAACATGACTACCTGAAAAAAAATTGTAATATTTTTGTGGAGACTTTGTACTTGTTTGTTGTGCAATGTAATTTTTTGGTACACATACATGTAACTATGTAAAATGTTTATGTAAATTGACTCAATAAAAAAAAAATGTTTTAAATACATTGATTTAATTTAGCTTATTTTACTTTACAGCAAATCTCAGAATATTGGGGCAATCAATTTGCATACTCGCTAGTGAATTGGCTAACTGCTTGGGTTTTAACTGAACAGTTGGCTTTTGAATCTCGCTGGCATCAGCTTATGATTGCATCCGCTCTTGGTGAGTCTATATTATATTAGGGGACATAGAATGTTTTTACGCAGCCTGGTACATGTCTGGATTCCCTTGAATGATTTGAGCCGTACAAGTGATAATATGATAAATGTGATTAATCCACCAATGTTTACTATATGAGGCTAACCATCTTGAACACTGCATGAAACTAAATAAACAAGTTGAGAAACAGTTTTCTACAAATCAGGGAGAAAGTAACAAACTTTCACATCCAAACAATCTGCTAGGGTAACATTGAGCCAATCGCTGACAAAAATCTACCTCATTCGTCGTTTTTGTGTGTACACGAAGAACATAGAACACTTTCCCTAGTATATTTGAAAGCTGTAAGACTGTCGTTGATTAGCTCCTAAAGTATGACAATTGCCTTCAGTGGGCATGACCGCAAGACGACGCCAACAAGATTCGAAAGCCAACCGTTTAGTCAAAACCAAAGCAGTTACCCAATTCGCTAACGAGTTTGTAAATTGGCTCCCCTAATACTTCTAAGACTTGCTATAAAAATATGAATACCGAAATTAAAAACTAGTGAATAATTAATGCATATCTGGGTGTAAACATCAATGGATTCAGCTATGACTAAATGTCAGAGAAAGCTAGAAGAGCAGAAAAAGCACAAATACCAATCTTCAATACTGCTAGCATTTCAATTAAAACACAATTTTTTAAGTCCACTCAAATTTCAATTTTGACATGTGCAGGTGCTGTGGGGCGGCTGAGGCCTGTGCAAAAATACATGTACGAAATGGGATACAACATGTACTGATATTTAGTGTGGGAGGCGTTGTATGTCTATTCAGTCACAAATTCTTAGTCTTTGCCCTATGCCACCTGTGTGTTGGGTGATGTTGCCAAAAATGTATATGGATAAGGCTTCATTCAACAATAAATATTCAATAGTCATTGATACAAAAAAAAAAATACTATTATTATTATTTATAATTAACTTTTAAAGTTATATGTGCAATGCCAGTTTTGTTTCTATTTTGACGCGTGTTTTTTAATCATGACTTTTCACCTATGTATTTAATGGGTTGGATAATGGCCTTGATAGTTACTATGAACTACAAAATCACGTCAAAGTCTATAATCGTTTAATTTTTCTCCATGCGTTCATTCCGTTCAGCGATTTCAACGCAAGCACTTTATGGGTTGCAACGTTTAACTGGTTGACTGATAGTAGACCTCGATCGCAGTTGCATTGCAAAACAATACTTGCAAGTGCGCAGACTGCGATCGGGATTAATATTGCTCTCGCATTTTAAACCGTCGCTGCGTTTCGTGAGATCAAGTTTTACGGAACCACCAGTGCACATCTTTGGACCCTAGATGTCATAAATGATTGCATGAATATTTAATCAATATAATGCACAAACAATATCAATTATAATGTTTGGGATTGGGGGACTATTAAATACAAAAGGTGGGGTCGCCAAATATCCCAGTTTTAAAAATAAAATAACTAGTGTATGGTGAGAGTGAGTGGGAGGACAATGAAATAAGCGACGGTAAAATCTGCGAAACAATATCCTGCAAACAGCTCATACGGACTTCGACCTACCTATTCTTTGGCCAACTTGGGAACTGAACGGATGGGTACCAAAGAACGACATCTTGGATTTTGTGTGAGCTGAGCGCAAATTGATTACGTCATGTGACCAAAATAACTTACAAAGGATGATGGTCACCCAACGCACCTTTTTATTTTGTTTTCACATACGGAATTACATTCAATCCAATAAATAAGTCACAATTAACATTTATTCAAAAAATTAATTTCAAAATAATGATCCTTAAATATGAATAAAATGGTTTTATGCATAGTCTGTTTTGAGATCAAAGTTGAACAGGTCAAAGGTAAGTTGAATGCATTCTGGGATACATGTTGCTTGACAACAACAGCCATCTTGGGAAAGCCGTGGTTCTGGATGAAAACATTCAATCATACACTATTTTTTACATAGTAAGGTTAGTAAAACTGTAAAATATTACATGACAAAGTATCAACTCAATGAGCTGCGGTGTATTGGTGTATTTGATACAAGAATCGTATCACACATATTTCTTTACAGAAATTAACTCCCCATAATAAGTATGCATTGAATTTGCAGTAACTATATTTACGGTATATGTATTATAACTGTCATACTGTTACCACCAATAGTTGGATGGATTAGTTGTGTAATAAAGTTGTTATTATTGTTAGTATATATGCATCTGTCTATGCTGCATGATATTGATCGTGAATCGTGTTCCCATTCGCATTTTACTGAGCTGTGTACAATGCAGTCATGTGTATCACAAGTATGGTCAGGTATTATTAGGGTCCCAGTCCCTCTATAGAGGAACTGTGTTAGGGTCTAATATATTCAGTAAATTGCGAGATCATTGTCAGCCGAACTGTCGCAGATTTTGGGCCTCCTGGTCTTAAATGACGATTAATTTCGTAAAGTTATGTGGTTATGATATGTAATATGTAATAACAACCTTTATTGATATCGTATCCCTTCTGGGATCTAGATTAGAATACAATAAGGATATAAGGAACAATAAAATACATAAGTAATAATAATAATAATAATAATAATAAAAAAGAAATAAATAGTAATACTGTGAAAATATTATTATATAAATATTTTTTTGGTGTTATTTTGAGGCAGCTGGTAAATTGCTTTTCATGAAATTCTCTCTTATTTGAGTTTGGAAAATGTGTGTACCATGTGTTGTAGAATGGGGGGGGGGGGGGCACTCTAAATTGCTGCTTATGTTGTGTCTATCTAAACAACTACGTATAAATCGTTGACTCCTGTGATTATTCTTATTATATTTATTGCATAAATAAATTTATTGTATAAATAAATTAAAAAAATGTACTTCTCTAAAATAATGTGTGTAATGGGGCCCATCACAACTGCGAGTGTGGCCACTTTCCAGGAAGGCATGCTCTGATTGGTTGACAAATTCTAACTAAAGAAAGGTTTGTTAGATGTGATATGCTACCAACCACAATTTTAAATATCAGATTTTAATATTAAAGATTTATTTTTAAATTAAAAATCTATTTACAATTATTTTCCTGACAAATAATTATTCCATTAATAATTTAGTTATTTCAGGGCTTAAACTTTGAAGTTGAAGGAGCCCCCATAAAAATGCCTTAATATAGAATTAATACTGGTATAGAGAATATTCAAGGGGATAAAGAATGGGGTTCATTGGGAATCAAGGCAATTGTGTTTGATGCATCTGTGAAGTTCAAGCTCTGTATAAAGTTGATATGATCAGTTTTAAATGCTAATGTATATACCAGTACCGGTACTAGCAATTACCCTAATTTTCATTAGTTTGATAGAAATGTCTGTTATAATATGATTAACCCACCAGCCCTCATCTTAAGTCTTAACAAAACTTTAACTATCAATATTTTGTTATCATCAGTCAAACTATTCAACACTCCAGTGATAAAAAAAAAGCTGCAATATGAGTCGACTGTACGATACAGTGGAACCTGCAGTGATAGATGAGGAGATGCTGCTGAAAGCAGTGGAGGAACAGGGGCCCAAGGAAGAGGCTGGAAGAATTGCTAAACAAGAAGGAATTGATTTCTGTGATGTTGTACAACTTAGATTAGATTTCAAAAGTAAGTTAGTATGACACTTCTGTATGTCATGCATCTGTTGGTCTACATACTCAAGTACCTTTTGAAAAAAAAAAATTAGCACAGTAAGCAAAACAGTGTGTTATTGCACTCAACTTACATCTGTTCACCTACAAACCAAAATGCCCTTAAAAAATCAAATTGAAATTGATAATTTTCTTGCTATGGTTGCATTGCTAAAAATTATTTACTAAAATCAGTTCACCAGTCTATCTTAAACTGTACACCACACTGATTTGTTACCAATGAAATAAAGGGTGATGTACTGCAAAAAGCAAAATGTGCTCAAATAATTGGAGAAAGATCAATAGTCATTGTGGATTTGTTGTTTTGATGCCCAATCATGTGAAAACATTGGATATTGATTCATGCACTATCCTTGTTTATTATAATTTGATGGTATGTGCACTGACCTCAAGCTGCGCTCTGTTATCATCTGATATAATCAGCAGTGCACAGTATTATAATAGAATATCATGTAATTATCATAATATCAATCTGATCTGATATGAACATGTCTGGCTAAACTAAAAGCTATTCATTCCATAAACATATACGTCTTATGTTGACATTACATGCTTTAATTGACAATCTTGATGATTTGAATTTCAGATATCTTGAAGATTGATAATTTGTGGCAATTCACGCGCCTCACCAAACTACAACTTGATAATAACATCATCGAAAAAATAGAAGGACTTGACCAGTTGGTTAATTTAATTTGGTTAGGTAAGAGTGGATGAATTTGGTTTTTAATATTTCTCAACCCCTGGATGTGGCTTATAATTTTGCTGCATGGTGTTTATAAATAGATTCTGAAATGGATAAATACCAGTATTTTTTTTTATTATGTTATATTATTTTTAACTATTGCTGAATTCATCATAGTGATCAATCCAAAAGACCGTATATATTGTATTTCACTTTCTTCCAGCTTTGATATATTTACTGGGAAATCCATTTTCAGGAATAAATTTATATAGTTTTTTTCTTCAGATCTTTCATTCAACAACATAGAAATTATTGAAGGTTTTGATAAGTTGACAAAGCTTGAAGACTTAACACTTTACAACAATAGAATTTCAGTTATTGAAAATATGGATGCTCTCACAAAGCTACATGTGCTTTCAGTTGGCAACAACAATATTGAACAGTTAGAAAATGTAAGTCTTAATGACATCTGAAAATATATCAACTGTGGTTTAATGTTTTATTTTATTATTATAAGGTTAATGTTGTTATTTACCACCTAATTTAATTATGAAAATGAATTGGTATTGTTTACTCTTTTAAATAATATATCATTGACAAGTCAAAGCAAAGGAACTTAAATTCTTTTTAATAGCCGACTTGTTCTTATTACATCATTGAAAACTACTCGCATCATAAAAACGTGTTATATTTTCGATTGAGTATAGTTCATTTTTATATATGTTATATTACCAGTAGTTACCAGTAAACCAAACCTTATTAAATTATTAACAAACTTCATACAATGAGTTCATTCTGTATGACTCTGGGTACTTAAAAGATATTTTTTTATTTTCAGGTGAAGTATCTAAGACGGTTTAAGAATTTACAGACACTTAATTTGAGTGGTAATGAATTCTGTGATGATGGCAATTACAAAGCATACATAGTAGCACATATTCCAAGTCTTGTCTACTTAGATTTTAGACTGATTGATGAAAGTACAGTGAGTATATTTACAGAATAATTTTTAGTTCGTAATTACATTCTTTTTAACTGGGAGATTTATTATACCACATCTGCAAATTCTTAGAGCATCCCACCACATCTACAGAGATAATGGTTCAACACCTAGCATTGGCAAGTCTTTATAGAAAACAGATTGGTAAATGTATAATAGTCGGTTCATGCGAGTAGGTGACAGTTTACGCTGGCTGGTTTACAGGAGGGCAGTAAAATATAGGGTTGGGTTACTTAGGGGTCAGTTTTCACATGGATGGTTTTGCAGGTCAGTTTAAACTCAATTTAATTCAATTGACATATTTTACACATTGTTGTTGTTGTGGAATGCTAATAAAAAGACCAAAATGCTGTTTTCTATTTTGCATTGCCATTTTTGAATTTGAAAATGACATTTCATGCCATTTATTCTAAACCATATTTATGTTTGTTTGTTTGTTTGTTTGTTTGTTTCCACACAGAGAGTGGCAGCCAATGAACAGTACAAATATTCAATTGAAGAACTTGAAGCTGATGAAAATGCAGAAGAAAGAAAAAGAGTCAGTGAGAAAGAGAAACAAGACTTGTTTGAACTACACAAGGTGAGTCACTGCCAACAAAACTGTTTGTGTGCACTTGTATGAGGAAATAAATTTAATAAAATAATGTCATCACAAGAATACTGCAAAATGTACACGAAGGCTAATTGTATATGGCTATCATATTGACAAACACAGTTCGATGCCTGAGTTTATATACTTAGTGGCATTTAAGTGATAACTTATTACAGTGACTGTGTATAATACATTTTCTTTCCTACTTGTAGTAATAATGTAATAATAGATAACAGCCCTAAATGCCAGTGAAAAATGTTTTACGAGATCATTTCCAGGGAAATCATTTGCATTGATTGACATGACTCAATGTCCATCGCACATTATATTGATGACATGTCTGATGTAATCAAAAGAAATAGTGATTTGAATTTCGGTGACATACTTTAAAGGAAGTTTTTAATATTTGAACAAGTGCAAATATGATGCAAATGAAAGCAAATATAGCTTTATAACGTAAATTGTTTGTAATTTTATTTGTATTTGTAAATTATTATACTGTACTATACAGTGCTAACTGTATACCATGTATATATATATATATATATATATATATATATGTACACTCAGTAAATAGTTCTACATGCAATTTACATATTGATGATTTGATAATGTTATGTGTATGTTTTTCTTCTGTACAGAGTGCCTATGTAGAGAATCTGAATGGTCCATTTCTATTTGATAGTATGTTCTTTGATGACACAGAAGGACCGAAGCTGGCGTCATTGCCCGGAGTAGAAGAACTACTTATAACATATCCTTATACTTATCAGGCCATGTTCACTGTCTAGTTCCAATTCCCGATTTGTGTCACCAGAGGTTAACAAACAGATTTACTGTAGACAGAATGTTTAAAACAAGCAGAGTCACAGTACACCATTTGCATATTCCCATCTCACAGCGTAAAATATCCCCTCAAATAAAAGTGTCGTCATATTTGAAGTATCAGCCTCTGACAATTTGCACACCTTTCTGCTTAGGTAAAATAAATTAATTAAGCATGTGAAATCTTTTAATTTATATTCACTCACAGAGTACATTTACCAAAATGTCATAAAAAAGACGCCACCGGCGGTGCGCGTTGCACAATCTTTTTGCTAGCTGTCAAAACATCTACGCGCCAAAGTGAAAAGGTTGACACGCGAAAAATTAAAAGTTAACCTGCCAACCGTATTTTCTCTAAACGAGAAGTCATACAAAATGGAAACTGACGGAGGTGACTTGTTCCGAACGCCTCCTACAGAAAATCAACTCCAATGGTTGCTAGAAAATATTGACCACTAGCTAGAGAAGTATGTTCATGCTCTGCGAAGTTCTGGATATACCAGTTTACGTGCAATAACAAAAATAATGGCATAAGATATTCAGGAAATTTTTACCAGGAATTCCATCAGGTCACAAGAGACTCCTACTTTATGAAGCAGCTAAGTTACATACAGCAATCAAGCTGAACTTTATAATGCCAACGTTGCATCATGCAACAATGACAGTGCTGGTAATTTGAAATGTCAAGCAGTTTCTATGCGTGGGATAGGCAACAAAACAAATCGCAAACATTGTTAGCCAGACAAGACCACTGTTACGTATACCGCTGACAGTGCACCACATCAACTTAAAAAAATGTATACTTAGTCTCCCCAAAATTTATGATCACTCCAGTTCTTGTCACGAGAAGTATGTGCCATCAATTGAAAGAATCAAAGCCGATAAAGAAATCTCTTCAATGTTTCGATCAACTCTAAGTCACCGTCCTCCAGTTATGGTAATATCCTCTGTTGCCTTTGCTTGCGGATTCCTTTGTCGGTGAAACAAAACTTTTCTGCTATTTCACGAAAAGAAGAAAAATGACCAGTGATCGGATCACTGCCACACAATATAATTTCGTTAGCAATCATATTTTCTACTTCTTCTGATGTTTTTGACTCTTCAATATTTTACTGACGACAGTAACGGTATTAGCCATATTTCTGGCATTTGACCGTCGGATATCGTGAGAAGCAACGCAAATAAACTTATTTATTCTGTGGGCATTGTTCAGAGTGGAGACGGTTGGCAGGTTGACTTTTATTTTTCGCGCGTCAACCTTTTCAGTTTTGTGCGTAGATGTTTTGACTTGACAAGTTGTTTGACAGCTAGCAAAAAGATTGTGCGGCGCGCACCGTCGGTGGCACCTTTTTTATGATGTTTTGAACACTTAGTCAATTTGAGCAGTATATGTCTACATTTTGTTATAAACTATAAAATCTGAATTATTCATTTTGATTAAAACAAAGATTTAAAGGCCCAGGTATACTATAAATACGCTCTTAAACAATAGGGATTATTTCCTTGCTTGTCACGCTGTAGTAAACAGCTTCATCCAAGCTCCGGTAAAAACGTGTTTTCTCAAACTTACATGTCTATTATGTCGTGCCAAAGTGGATGCATGTGACTATGAATATCACAGCAGTGACTGTGTGTAGTATTTATGGAAATAAATAGTGTACGAGCTGAGATTTTGGCGGATAAAAGTAAAAAAACATGAACCGGGGAAAGGGATGCGCGACTAATCTTGAACTACTGTCAATCAAAGTCACGTGATGTTGGACCGCTGAAACAGGATGCGTCATAGGCTATGCAAGTGATTAACACCATGCATTAGAATAGCCACACCTCCAATTCACACTTGCCCGGGGCAAGTGAATTGGGCCTTTAAGAAACTGAATTGGAAACTGTATCCTAAGACTATTGACTTGAACTTTTTTTATAGAGGGTAGCCTTGTATGTTGTGGTAACATGTTCATCTTTATAACAAGGATATGGCATTTTTTTTTATGTGCACTGAGGACATATAGCATATATTTTCCCTTTGACTAGTTTCCATATTTACTGCTAATGTTTACTCCTTGTGATTCTATCAAATGGCAGAAAAGGTGATGGGTCTGGGGCAAGTGCTTTTGGATTAGAAAACATCCTGAGCTGCTGCTTGGTTTTTTTTTCAATCGTTATAATTCTTAACTGGTATCACTTTCAAAGAGAAGTTCACAGAAATCTGCCAACAACTGTTTGAGTTTGGTCTTCAGGAACATGCCAAAAGGAAGAAAGAAGTCAGTGAGTTCTTTGAGTGTATAGAGGATGCCAAGAAAGAAAACAAAGACATTGCTGCTGAGAAAATTGATGGCTTTCTGGCTTACAAGAAAAAGGTTAGTTCTTAAAATGCTTAGGTACCCTCCAACCAATGGACATAATGTTTTAACCGCAAGTATTTTTTTTTTGGTGGTTATAAAAATAAGTAAAACATTACAGTGAAATGATATTCTTACAGTGAGAGTGACATCAGTGATCCCCCAGTCTCTCTGAAATGCTGGTCTCAGAAATATTCATGCTCGATAACTGCAGATAGATAATTTTAGTTCATGTGGATGATGTACTAACCCTGTTAAATATCTGCATACAGTTAGTTATAATTATTTTATAAAAAGTTGTAGCCTTCTCACAATTGTCAATATGTATAGAGAGAAGTTTGTGCTACCATATTTATTCCATGATATTGCCAATTGTGTTGTGTTCAAGGAAAGCTATACTAGTAACAAATTCTTCAGTATCACTCTCAATGCTGTGAGTCTTATTTTTCAAATAAAAACTGCATTGTTTTGTTTCAAAACATTTTTTTTTTGCAGTAATATTGATTTTGAGTTGAAACAAGATACTATAGTGATGCCTTACAGTCGTGAATATACTAACTCTGAAAGCCAAAATGACATACAAATGGGAAACTGTTTTTATTATTTTCTAGTTATTCAGTGAAATACAACACATGAGTGACCAGAAGGTGTTAGATAGTCGAATTGAAGAATATCATAAAGAAGTGAATGTGATATGGGACCAACTAATGGGGTATGAATTACAGTTGGTTGATCAACTTGAGGTAAGACGAGTCAATGTATTGTGCCATTATACTGTATGAACTACTGTAGAATACTTTATTTTCGCTTGGAATTTATTTTCGCTATTTTCGCTGAAGGGATGATTTCGTGAAAATAAAATCCAGCGAATATACTTTTTTTCCTATATTCCACATTAAACTCATGAAAAATCGGTGAAAATAAATTCAAAGCAAAACGCCCAAGAAGCCTTTTCAGCGAAAATTAATTCCAGCGAAAATAAAGTATTCCACAGTAATTTATAGTGTATGTATAAGAAGCATAAGAAAACACAATGGACATACTCAGTCATAAAAAAACAGATTTTACTGGGTAATATGCATGAATGTAAATAGTTCTGTAGACACTAATAAATTTAATATCATGTTTTTATGTCATTGTTGATACTGATATAAATTGTGCCTTTTTATGTTGAGAGGGTAATGCATTTTCTGGACTATTACTGGTAGCAGTATTAGCAATAGAACTTTTGTATACATGTACAATGTTTGCTGTTGTAGCACTAGTATACAGTAAATTAATCGGCAAACTTGATTACGGTATACAAATGTAATAGTTCAATTGATGAACATAATTAATTTTATCTGACAGTTGTGCGTCTAAAATTCCCTGATCAAGATACCAATTCTGTCCCGATTAGGTAAATAAAGGCACCATGACATGTGATCATGTCTTCCAGAATGTGCATTAATCACTAGTAATCATGTTTGACCAAAGGTTCTGTAGTGATCATGCCAATTACTGTGAGTGTTATACACTTGTCATTTATGAATTCAATTTTATTTAACAGGAAACCATCAAGGAGTTTGATCGTAATATGGCAGATATGGTGTCTTTGTTTGTGGAGAATGTCCAAGCACAGTATCCTTTTACACATAGCTGCAGCTCGTTGGCCATGTGGGCTGTACCAATTAAAACATCCTTCAGTTAAAGGGGCACTTTCAGCAAACTTTGACATTTATCAAATTTGAATGTTTAACAAAATGAAACAGGTTAAATCGCTGAGGGAATTATCAGTTGTCATTATGGCGCCAAGAAATCATTTCGAAGACAAACATGAAATTCAGTTGATTGTTTGATTCATCACACGTTTAACAACTTTTGCCTGGTTACTAACAACAAATAAGTCCTTGTTCTTATTTTGTATGGGTAGAGAAATGGCAACTGAATATTCATGGAGAGTGTCATGTGAAATGTACTGTTCAGTGCAGTCTGTAAACAAATCTCAAACGTATTCGTCATGTTTGAAATAATTGCATTCTGCAAAGCTCAGTTGAAATATGCAATTTATTCAGCTTAGGTTCCTTGACTCTGTACTCAGAATTTCTCAATGCCGTGAACTGGAGAACCAACACCATGAGAAATTACTTGAAATTGCTGTCATCACACTGGAGAAGTTTGTCAAGAATGAACTGGATGATGATGTTCCAGACGAGACTAAACTGGTGAGTTGGTTTCTTTATTTATCTGTACAAACTCATTTCTGGAAAAGTGTTGAGAAGTATGTAAACTGAGAACAGACTTCTCAAGGTAGAGTGAACCAATTGTGGGAGGAGAATAACGCACTGGAGAGGAGCACTTGTAGCCAAGGTGTTTATTGCTCAACTGCTAGGCCTGGAACTGAGTCTAAATACTCACGAGATGTTCCATACAATGTATCAATATCATTATGCAAATAACTAAACTAAAGGTCATAGCCTCAAATCATTACATACGTCATGAGAAATTAATTTTAAAAGAGAAATATTCTGTGGGTTTTAGATTATTTGATGTTGTATGGATATTCATTGAGCTTCCAATTCACTGTTTTGTGAATGGGACATTCATTGCTTTCAATATTCACTAGATTTTAATTGAGAACATTTAAACCAGCAAATAATTACAGTACTAGTAAATACATCATGGTAGTTGCACTCTAAGATCATTCACATGGATTTATTCGAGATTTTGAAATATGATGTAAAATATTTAATGATTTTGTTTATCGGTATATATGCATGAATTGCCATCAATCTTGCCCAATATTACTGTGGACTGCATATCATATCGTCAACTAGGTATTTCACATCTTAGTCCCAAAATCTCAGCATTAGGAATGATCTCAGAGTGCAACTTCAACACATCATTAGCCGACAGTTTTTTCCCCATTTCCACTATTCATGGATGCTTTCTGCAGGCAATGAGTTAAGATATCTTATAGTAGTACCAGTCAAATATAATTGTGTTTTCACTTTCCTATACAGCTACTTGTTGACAAAGACACAATACAGAATGCTGTCAGTGCATCTCACGATTTGCATCTACTGAAGATAGACAACCGAGAGGACGAGATTATCACAAGAGCCAACAACTGGATGGCGGCTCTAATGGAGCAAATCCATCAAGATGAAGAGATTAAGAGGAACCGCGACAGAATTTGTGAAATTAATAATCTCATTGATCATCTCAATGATGAGCTTGATAATCTGGATCTTCATGGTGGACTTTGAAATGTCTATTGCAAAACAAGATGGCCACAGAAAAATAATGGATCTGTATTAATTTTGTGGTGTTTGAAGCCTATTGACATATTTACCAATATAAAGGAAGAACATTTTTTAATTGAGCCAGTTAGCAGGTTTTGGAATTGTTTGTTTTTTAGGTATATACATATGTATTTGTATATATGCTACAGAGCCAAACTATGGTAGATTCAATTTATTTTGTTGTCATATGACAAAATAAATAAATTTTAATGTCAGTTTAATACAGCTCTATAAACCAGAGACAATTGAGTTTCAAGGTTTTTTATGAAATCAGTAGGTTTTTGTAATTTTTGTCATGCATGCATGTCTGGATGTAACAGACATGTTATTGACAGAATGACCTGCCTGCAATGTCTTGACCCAGTTTGCCCCAAATTATTGATCATTCTAGTGTTTGGCTAAGAAATCATATATGTAAATACCGGTATTATCAGGCGAGCAGTGTTTAAGATTTGTAAAACATGTTACTTGATCTGCTAGAAGTGCTTCTCTATTAAAAGTGTACAGTCTATGCAAACTACAAAGCTAGTGATCATTTTGATGCTTTGAATAGAGCCAATACAACCGTCCAACCGTCGCTGAACTAAAACTTGGTACATGTTCGTGAATATATTTCGCCCAGATACTTATATTGTAAATATTTTAATTTCTGAATTTTGTGAGAAACAAATAAGATATTTATAATCTTTCTAAATCACCTGTAAATACTGAATATGCATTTTAGTGATGTTTGTAACCCACATGTACAGCACTTAGACTTACATGTATTATAGTAATGCTTGTCTGATGATTCCAATATTTTCCAGCAAAATAAAATTTACTACAAATAAAAAACATGCAAGTTTCTAATAGTGAAGTCTATTTATTAGCCATCAACTGGACAGGGACCCATCATGCTGAATGTTTGCTCCCCATTTTCTCACTGGGTCATTAACCAAATGTCTCCAAACTGGGTACATGCGGTAGTTGTCACATGATGCTCTAATTCTTCTCTTCAAAATGACCGACTAGCAGCCATATTTTCCAAAAAACCTACATTTTATATATAGCATTATTCCAAAGTGTAATGTGCCAAGTAATGTCTGTTAAATTTTGTCCCACTGATATTCACAGACTGGATTGGAATCCATGTATATTAAACAGTTTCTTATTTAGAATACCATTGGTTCAACACTGTTTTGGTCTACAGGTAGTTTTCATATAAGTGGTAAGAAAAGACGACCGGCTCTCACTAGTGGAGGCTGTATCACAAAACTGAAACATGTGACGTATCGTATTCCAAATATACTAGTTGCTCAAATGAATTGTAGTTTGGTACATGCATATTACTAGTACAGTTCAGATTTAATTCACATCTGGTTAGAACACCTTTCACACATTTTGTTATGGTTTGAATTCTGCCCTATCTTTATGACATGTGAAGGGCATATTGATGTAATTAATCTAGAATAGTTTCCCCGCAATTTACTGTACAGGTACATTTCTCATTGAATGTGCAAATTGCAAGTGTGAATTCTGACATAACCCATTCTACAATTTAGCATATTTAAAACAAAGACAATAGAATTGTGAAGTATAACTTGGAATCTTAATAACAGAAACGAATCCACAAAAACAAATATGGTATTGTTTTAATTAAAACCTATACAGGCAGCATTTAATGAATCTCAACACATGTGTGTTATTGACTGGCTTTGTCTAATTTCTGTACAACTTTGTCACTCTCTGTCGCCAGGTGAACAAACAATGTAGCCGCTGCAACCCTTGCTTTCAAGTCAGCTTCATCTAAATCATGTGACCATTCCACTCGACCCCATCTCTGTGTCTAAAATAAAGAGCACAGGAACATTGCAGATATGAAAATGAGAAATGAGTTATGCATTTACCAATTGACATTAAGAACAAATACCAATATTATTATTAGTATCCCACATCTGAATCAGCCAATAAATATAGGTTATATTCATATAATGCAATCTGATTGGCTGAAGCACATTAATAAACATCTACCGTATATAATGCCTTGTGATTGACTAATCCATTATGTGCACTTTGATTGGTCAATGAAAATGTGCATACAAATATAAACCAACATACCTGGTATGTGAATTCTAGCCTTGACAAATCAACTGCCTGATCCACTGAGATACACCTATCAATCAATGCAGCCGTCAATATTAATGATTTCAAACATTGTACAGCTGACTCATAACCTAGAAAACAGATAGTAGAAAATTGTTTTCAACCATAACAAATTCCCCAGAAATATATTAAATACCCAAAGATGGGTGGATGAATCAGAGACAGTATGCAGTGCTACATCTGGAGTCGAGAACTTCACACAAAAAATGCCTGTTGTCTGTCTCATACCATTTTGATTAAAATCCAATGTAGGTATAGGCTCAAATTTTATTTTGTTTAAATTTAATTGCTGTTATTCATTTTTTTTTCATATTTTGCGTCCCAGTCGCGATAATTAGTAAT